CCCCAAAACCCCAAAACCCCAAAACCCCTAAAATGAGTGAGAAGATTGAGACTTAAGAAAAATATTTAAAATTTTATATTTAAATTTTGGTTGAAGAAAAAGATGAGCAAAGTTTATCCGAAAGATGACCATGGTAAGATTCTTATTGATACACTATCAATCTATTGGCAGCTAAAACCTTTAGATTCTTTTTAATAGATTATTCTTCAATTTTTAGTTAGAAGTAAGGATATTTTATTAAAGATGGTCTGGTAAAGCAGCAAAGAAGAGAAGATTTCATCAGTCTTCAAAATATTATAACATTTTGAACTAATGAGAGAATTTGGTTCTTAATTATCCCTAAAGTCTTAAAACATACTTATTTGACTGGTCCACTCTAAGCTTAATCCTCAGTCATCAGTTAGGGTTAATGGTATAATTTTCTTTTTGTATTTCATGATATCTACTAAAATTTTAACAATTTCAAAACTTTCATATCCTAAATTGCAAATATTTTGATAAAAGAAGTTCTAATTGCTTAACCATTGTATAATTGGTTAATTAAGCATGCAAATTCTTTTATTAGATACTACAATGATTAGAACTTAAAATAAGATCAGATTTTTTGACTTCTTGTCTGGTTCTATCATCTTAAATATTGCTAACTAATTTTTAAATTATTAAAAGATAGTGAAACAAGAATTAACAATCAAGAACAGCTACCTTACCTTCCATTATCTTCCAAACTAACCACAGCTAAAACCTTCTAATCCTCCTATCCACTCTCACCTACCCTATTCTTAAGACATTAAAGCAGACTAACCCCAATTTTCAATAAAATCCCCTCAAATTTCAACTATTGCCCACTAATGCCCATACTTCATCATACATCTTAAAAAGCCACATCTTCCGGCACATCAGTAACTCCAAATTCAGCACTGATCTAAATTCTGGGCAATGCCTCTAAACCTCAAAGTCTTAGTCCCTCCTAAAATACCCAATCTGAGATTTAGAAAGCTGATTTAGACCAAAGCTGAGACACTTTTTATAGCGAATTTTACTCTTTTATAGATGACAGTGAGAACAATTGTACTAATGAAGTCCTCCTAGAAGAAGATGTCGATAATGAACATGCCAGAGATACTCAAATATCTAGAGAGGAGAACAAAGATGGCTTACAACTGGATGAGGTCGGTCAGCAAGAATCTAGTGAAGAAGAGTTAGCTGATAGCATCATAGGAGAGCAAAAGAAACTGTTAGCAACAGATAATGTCTTGAAAGAAGAGAATAAAAATATGAATACTGAAGAAGAGCTTAAAAAGGAATTAATAGATTCTGATCCTGATGATAGCTTCTCAAATCAAGAAGATCAGGAACAACTGGATCCATTTTCACAAGGATTCTGCCAAAAAGATGGATTTTCACCATTTAACTTTTTCGGATTCATGGATCCTCCTGGTATGGGAAATAAGAACGAAAAGAACCAAAAAGAGTTCAAAGAAATGAATAAGGACGAAATATCGTAAGCAATACAAAATCTCTGCACTATACATTTTCCAACAATCCCCAACTACACCCTCCCAACACCAGTCTAAAATTCCCTCTCACCCAAACACTTTCCCCACCCCTACCTCTTCCCTTGCACCCCTTCTCTTCCTTAACCCTGCCTTATAGATCATACATTGGCGACGCCTGGATGAAACGTGAAGGTAAGCTACTTTGAACTGACTTGGGGATTGGGCTGAGGAGGAAGACAGGGGGTTGGGGGTGGAGGTGATGGGTGGTATAGATGTGAAAAGGGAGATAGAGAAGTTGAGGGATTGAGAGAGGGAGCAGATTCAGAATAAGAGTGTTAGGGTTGGAGATCAGGTTATTTTTAAGACGTATGATCAGAGGATGGGGGATTATCAGTATTTGGTAGCTGGAGAGTAAGTTTTGAGGGGGTTTATTGGTTTATGAGCTATTTTATGTTGGTAAAGGTTATGACTGGATTTTTCTTTAATTCAAAAAATTCAGATTTTTATTTGACTTAAATTTGAATAATATAGTTGCAAACTTCATTTTAGATTAACTAAAAAATTACTTCTTAATCTTATGTGTAAAATTTTATAAATTCTATAAAGCCTCGATCAGAATTTTGAAAGGATAATTTAGTATTCTCCTCATAGTTAGATAGATAAATAAACTTATAGTATTGGTTCAGTACAATTTTAACCTCCTGTAATTTCATTGTTTGGTAGTTTGAAAATCCACTAATTTTATTCAGTCTAAACATTCTCTAGAAGCTTCATGTGGCTTGAAGGAAAATTTGAGGCATTTGATTTTACCATCGAGCCATTACTAAGTGAGACATCCCATACAATCACTACTCTTTATAAAGAAAAATAGGAGTTCTCCTAATTCTGGATGGAACCAGAATGATAGGACTAAGTTCTATGAATCTGAAATAAAAATAGTGAAGAATAACCTTGCTTATCTGCATCAGACCCAGAAATACCCTCTGAATCTGAACCAGCCTTTCCTTATCAAACGTCCTGAAGAGAATAGAAGAGAATTTGAATTCCTAATTGAAGGTTCGAAGGAGAAAATAGATATCAGTAAATGGGTGCTAGTTGATGTAAATGAAAATAGTGAAGATGTAGCTGTAAACCCTCTTACTTCCTATCATCTCTCCACTCTTATAAACAACAAGTTCTATTACCTAAAGAAAGACCGAGACTCTATGTTGAGTAAGATCTAAACTATAACCTTTAGCACCTGAGAAAGAAGAAGGAAAACGAATTGAACTTGGTAAGCAAGCTTAGTCATAATTTTAGACGTTGTGGAGAAAGATAACACTGATAACCCAGATAAAGGTAAGCTCATCATAACTCATTTTATATCCTTCTTGCAAAGTCTAGATTTTTAATTCCTAAACTTTGATATAAATTACTTTTGCTTCTAAGCCCTAACGATGTAAACCATTTCAAAGGCCTTATTGGAATTACTGCGGCTTGTGAGGATAACCTCACAGAATGTATAATTTTAGGAGAGTTGTGCATTTTAGAGTTTTGAGATTTTGGTTTCCTTTGAAGCTGTCTATTTTGAGTGCTCCTACTCATGATTTTCTGGAAGGATATTTCGAAAGTTTGTTTGGAAATAAGTTTTTGTTGAGAAATTTTCATGATTTTCACTAAGTTTTGTTCAGAAGTTTATTTATTTTCAACATTGACTAGTTAGAAATATAGGATTTCATTTTGAAATAGCATCTTATAAAAATCTGGGAGAATAGAAAATAGTTTGAGTGTGCTATGCCCATTAATATCATAGATTTTTTATTTTTTATATAGCTCAAAGAAGAATAACTTATGATGATTGTTATTGATTATTCGATCACAAACACCAATTTGTGAATATTAGCAAATGTTACATTGACAGGGATTTGCTTTATTCTAATGCAGATAAAGGAATAATTACAACAAAGTGTATTTCATTTTCAGAAATATTATTACAAAATTATTTTCAGGTGCAATACTTCCCGAGTCAATCTAAGATCTCATTTAAATCAAAAATACAATTCTATGATCAAATGTGGGACGAATATAAATATAAGTTCTTGGGATATGAGAAAGAGAAACTCACTCTCTTGAATGATGAATATCTCTTTGAAATTGAAAAAGTAGAGAAAGACCCTATTGTTCTCACAAATCAACCATTTATGCTAAAAATTTCAAGCAATGCCAAATACCTTCAGAGCACACCTTCTAAGATAAAAGGAATGAATAAGATATAGAAGTGTCTAGCTTTGACTCAATGAATCCTGATTCGTTCTATTTCTACCTTCATCAAATAAAGGGGCACTCTGGCTTATCTCCATATGATATTGATAAGTTAGACTCTCATCTCAAAGATGGCAGGAAAAATATGAAACAGAAAGATTCTGATGAAGGGTCTGAAATTGAAAAGTTGACGGAAGGTTATAGACTCATGAAAGAATACATACACCTTTCTATTTGGTTCTTCAGAGACAGACAGCCAAATAAAACTAAAGGAATGGGGAATAAAAAGATGTGTCTAAATGGCAAGTTACTCTGCTTTTCTGAGTTTAAATGTGAATTTTAAGTTAAATTTATTCTTATAGGATGCTTTAATAGAAAACTGGCCATTTACCTTAATAAAATATATGACTTCAAAAGCGATCTGAAGTTATTAAAGCAGAGAAGACAAGAGCTTATTCAGAAAGAACAAGATTTGAATATCACTGGTAAGTCATGTGTTTTTCTTAAAAGTTGGAGAATTGACAATATTTCCAATAATATGATATATATCAATTGAAAAAAGATAAATGAGGAAAGTTGCCATATTCTCCCATTTTAATCAATCATCAAGATAAGAGTTGCAAATAATACAATTAAAAGGGCAGTTTTATAGTTAGAATTCTTATTTATGTTGGTATTTAGTTATATTTTCAGTAAAATTATGCCTTAAAATTTCATTTTATTTCTCTTTCTCAAAGATATTACTTTTGCAGGATTTTACTGATAAATTTCTTTAATAATTAAAATTAATTATAGATCAAGAGTTACTTCTATGCTAAGTTGTATAATCTTGATCTTGAGAACTTCTAGTTCTAAATTTCATACTTTGAAATGAGCTGAGAAGATATATTTCTCATATAATTAACTAAATCAAAATTTTGTAGTTTTACAATCCCTCAACATCTAGAATTAGACCAGTATTTACTTAAAATTTTAGTAGAGAATGAAAAGTTATTCTAAATTGGTTTACTCATTAAAATGCTTCGATGAAGTAAAAATATTTAAGAGTAAATCTTACTGTTATCAATACAGTTTGACTTTAAATTTACTCTTTAATAATTTATTAACCGTTAACTCCTCATCTGTTCAATAATCTAAACAACATTTCTATAGCTTTTCGACCATCATATTTTTACTCCCATTGTTGAGAATACATTCTTGCTCTTGGATGTTGAGAATCACAATATGCAACCTCTTCTGCCTTAAAAGAGGCTAAGAATATAATTACTGACTCTCAAGAATGAGCAGAAGGAGATAATGATTCAAGGTATTGTATCTATTAATTTGTAGGAGAGTAATGATGCTGATTAAAATAACGAATGAAACTCACAGAGTTGGCAGCACAAGTTCTAAATGTATGTCTTATCAAATAAATTAAGATCTTCTTTAATATTCTTAGGGTCAACACACTTACATAATAATCCCTAACTTACAACTCTAACTACTTTAGCCAACTAAAAGATTTTTATGACTGAATAAAAATTCTAATCCTCTAAATAATACTATTTTAATTTAGTGACTGAACACAATATCTTTGAAATTGAATGTTTTATACCATTCATTCAATATGAGCTAGACAAAGAAATCAGCCATGCCAATTTAAGTATCCTCCTTGGGATTATTTCCAATAAATACAGAGACCACCGTGCAGTGTGGAGTTATGACAGTACCAACTCGGAAGCGATTAAGTATATCTGAGATAAATTAGATCAAGAAATTGGGAAGTTTGAAGACTTAGATCTCATTGAAATGGCTAATAAATCCAATATTGCAAATAATGAAAAATTACAAGATCAAATATTCACTAAAGCAATGTTTTGAGAAGGAAGGAAGCAAGCCTATTTTATGGTTCAGAACCAAAATAGTTCTTTGAGAGAATTAATGAAACTATTAATTTATAGCTATGGTTTCAAAACTGGCTTATACACAGACTCTTCTTTTATTAATAAAGGAAATGAGTGGATCATCAAAGGTTTTACCTCTTCAGAGACTAGCCCTCATATTAAAGGCCTTCTGCTGAGATTGTTCTGAAACATTAATATTCCTGATTCACATTCTGAGAATTTGCTACAAACTCAAGAGGATATTATTAGTAAAATTCTTGATGTGAGCCTTGAAACTTTGAATTCTTTTGAGGATGATGAATCTGTTGAGGATTTGTTTTTGCTTTGAGAGATATTAGGACTCATAATCTGTATGCTCAGGTCTACTTATCATAGCCAAAGTATTCTTTGAAGCCTAAAGGTAAATGTATCATTAAGATCCCTTTGCATGCTTTTATCCAAGTGATCAGAGATGTTCATACTCCCTAAACCTCATGTTTTTGACTCTACTGAAGGAGTCAAAATTTATTATGAAGACTTGATAAGAGCAAATGATGCTGCTGTGCATGATATATGACATGACGTTGATGTAGTAATGCAGTCTTATAAAAGAGAGATTGTCACCAAAGTTTTTCAAATGCTAAATATTATTTCAGAAATTGAGAAAAAGCAAAAGGAAGAACAAAAAGAAGGATCTCAAGGCCAATTTCCGTTTCTTCAAGATATAATAGCAAATTCTTGAGATGTAGATTCAAACAATTTTGTAAATACTCTTCAGAAAGTTATTATAAAATGGATGAATTTCGATGACGAGTTCCAAATTTCATCAGAAATTTACAACTTTCTTTTATATTTTGATACTCAAACTGTGCAATGAGGTAAAGAAAATCTCATAAAGAAAGAGCTTTGCCAAGAGGTATCTGGTAATGTAAGTCTTTTCATTCATAGTCATTAGAGGTATTAACATTATTAGATTAGTATTAGTAGAATAGTATATCAATAACAATGCGAAAAATGCTCGAAACCATTAATGAACCAATCAAATTTTAAACACATAATCGTATCAAAAATTTTAGTCGAAATTCCTATTAAAAATATCTTCAAATATGCTTTCATATAATTATCTAGGCTTAGTTTGTTTACAATGTTTTTACCAAACATGCTATTTGGCCTTTAGCTCTCATGAAAGAAATCAACTATTCTAAATATATGAGAATTATGTTTCTTAGAAATATTGACTTAAATAAGTTCATCAAAACTCTTTTGGTCTTTCATTTATCAGAATTGTTAGATTATATGGAGTAATTATTGTTTACTTAAAATAATTGAGAATATAATTTAACTATTTAGGAGGAATTTAAGAACCAAGTCGAGTTTTTCAGACAGAAAATTGATCAAATGAAATCTGATTTTACACTCGCTAAAGAACAAAACAAAAGGCAAGAAGACTTGTGTAAAACTTATCTTGAGGATATTTATAATTTGATATCTTTGCTTGTGAAGCTCCATGGTCTCTGAGATTTTGAACAAGAAAACCAAGAGAATTTTCTCCAGTTTATCAATCAATTTGTTTCAGACTGATATGAATGTCTAATAGAGACTATTAAATTTTCAAAAGTTGCAAAAATGATGTGGAAATTCAATGGCTATTTCTTCACAATTATTTGGAATAATCAGCTCTGAGATAATCTTCATCAACAGTTGGTATCTGAGATCTTAATCCAAAGCAAGATTGAAATGCTCAACTTAGATTCTTGTAATCTTCTGAAGAAAATAGCCTCTTCAAGAGGGCATTTGTTTGAAGATAAAGAAAAATTAATAAAACAAGAATTAGAACCAGAAACAAGCAAAGTTTGAGGATTTGAAAGAAATGAAACTAGGAATACAGATAAAATGTTTGATTATTTTGTTCAGATCATAAAGAATAATTGCAAAACAGGATCTCAACAAAAGATAGAATCTTTAAATAAAATTGTTTCTTATTGGAAAAATCAATCCTGAGTTGAAAACTCATCAGTTAATATAAAATTTTCAGATACAAATCCGACTTTTCTTAAAAGCAGTATTGATCAATTGAATAACCATATCAAAAATCCTAACGATACAATGAGAAATCAATCAATCCGAAGGTTCCAATTATTAATACACAAGCTTTTCTTTAATATCGAAGTGATTGATCCAGAAGACGAAACAGAAAGCTACATCTTCCATTCCTTAATTCTGCTTAATGAGATAATTGACCATAACATAATGAACCATTCTGAGATAGCACAGATGTTTTATACAAAACACGCTACCAATGTACTGTTCTCTCTAATTCTAAAAGAATATAATTCCATAAAGTGTGCAAGCAAAATGCGACAATTTGCTTATATATTACTTATCAAACTGATGAAATTAGATATTACTGCTGCAAGAAGAAGCTTCAGAATTTGGACTTACATAAATGATAACAAAAGGGTTTTAGAAAGAATCGCCAGTCTGGCCAACCAATTCAGTATGATATTCATAGATGAAGAGTTGAGTTGGTTAGTAAGCATTGATTTGAAGGAAACAGATTACCAAGAATTACTTTTGTCCATCGAATGGCTTACGATCTTATGACAGAATAATAAGCATTGGCAAGATTATCTCAGAAAGCAAGATAACTCTTATCATAATCATAACATTATTAATGCTATCATTGAATTGTTGAGAACAAGTGTTCTCCGACTTAACCATGAATATGTTGTTGTTTTATTAAGAGCCATGACCAAATTTATGACAGAAACAGTGAATGGTCAGAATGAAGCCTTATCCAGTCAATATGCCAACTCAACTGTTATTAAATATTGAATAGAAATTTTAAAATAATGGATTTTCTTGAGAAGAGGTTGAATTCATGAAAAATGTAAATAAAGAATCTTCTTTCCAGATTATGAAAAATGAAATAGATGAAGATCAGATAGAGCCAATTTTGACAAGATCTCATTTGTTTAACTTACTAAAACAAGAAGTTTTGTGTCTGATTAACTCTTTACTGCTTCCCACAACAATGCATCAAATTAACCCTCAAGAGAATTATCAAATTATTAATGATTTAATGGTGATTAGCTATATTCAATTCAAATTTTACAGAGATGAGAGCTATGTATCTGAACTATTTGATGAAAATTCGAAATTGTATAAAACATACAATATAAATGTAGGTTTTCAATGCTATTACCTAATCGCTCAGTTATGGGGCAATAATGGGCAACCAAACTTCAATTGAGTCCAAAAAATTGACACGGAAGGAGCATTTAACCAATATTGGAGATTATTAAAGCATTTTTACTTTCTAATTAATCCTTTGAAAGGCAAGCTATTACCTATTTCTCAAACAGGCTATAAATCTTTTGAGAAAGAAGAAAACTTGATTGTTAAAGCAAATAATTTCTTTGATGGTCATAGCTCATGAATTGAAATTGTAATGAAAAATGGTGAATTAGTAAAGAGACACTTTGAAATTTTAAGCTGATTTCTGTCATTTACGCAAACAGAAAAAGATAACTTCTGGCTAGATGCTAACTTGGATAATAGTAAGACTGCTGTTAACTCTTTTGTTCCTTTTGCATCAGATAAGGTCGATGAATTATTTATCCAACAGGAGGTTCAAAATTTAGCTATTTGACTAGGAGAAGTAACAAAGAAAAGTAATTGGCTTACAGATATCTTGAGATTACTAATTCTTGGAATAAACTTTATCTTATTCTTTGCTCTTGAGACTCATAAAGGAAAGCATCTTGACAATCCAAAGTTATTTGGACTAAGTTATGGAGAAACAAAAATTATTCTTAACACCTTTGGAATTGTAATTCTCTTGATTTTCTGCTACATAACCATTGTCCAAGGAATTATTGTAACAAAGTTGCAAGGAAGAAGATCTATTCAGCAAGATGAAAAATATGCTTCAGGAAAATGATCAAGATTCCTAAGAACGTGTTGGTATATGATCCAAAAATATGATAAAACTCTTCAATCAAGAAGTATTTGGTGTTTGCTACTTTGTATTGGGTTTTCAATAGCAGGGGTTGCTTCTGATTACTTCTGGTTCTCTTTCACTCTTATCTACTTGGTTATTTTCTCCCCCAAAGCTCTGGAAGTCACTAGTGCAGTTTGGGAGCCAAGATGGAGAATTGTGTCTACTGTTATTCTGAGTGCTATTACTTTATACTGGTTCGCAATAGTTGCATATGTATATTTTGGAAAAGATTTTAATGGAGTGATTGAAGAATCCAATCTTACTCTAAGAAGAAGTCTAGTCGTAATTTTTGACTCTTGGTACAAGTTTGGACTTGGTGCATTCTTGGCTGATAATGGCAGATCTGCCATAATGCAAGATGTAGAAGGAGAAAATAAATATAAAATCAAAGAAGCAAGGATGGGATTTGATTTCGCATTCTTCTTTATTGTTCCTACTTTACTCCTCAGTATCTTGAGTGGAATAATCATAGATAACTTTGGAGAAAGAAGATCAAAGAGTGATTCTATCCAACAGAGGCAAAATGATCAATGTTTTATTTGCGGTGAATCCTCCAGTGACTTGCAAGACTTCGAAGAACATTGAAAATTTAAGCATAATATTTGGGATTACATGTATTACATCGGATATTTAAGAGCTATGAAAGCTAACAAAAGAAATGATTATAGGGATATTCATGTGTACAATTGTCTTCAACTAAACAAAAATGATTGGCTTCCAGCATATAGAGATTTTGTTATTCAAGAAGCAGAAAAAGAGAAACCAACAGATATTCTTGGAGACATTATTCAAGATCCCATCGAAGAGACTATGAATCAAGAATCAAACAAAGAGTCAAAAGTAGGCGAGGATAGAGATGAAGATAAAGGGTCAAATAAAGAAATATCTGCTCTAAAAGAAGAAATAAAATGTCGAAATGAGGTTCTTGAATCAAAAATTAATGAAGGAAATGAAGAAATCAAACAGATAAAACATGAAATGGACGGATTTAAAAATGAAATTAAACAGGAAATCCAACAGATGAGATCACTGTTTGAGGAATTCTTGTCAAAAACTAAATCTAAAGCAAGTTAATAGTTTGATAAGAAAAGCTACTTATCGCATTTATAAATTGCCACCTTCAATTTATCTAATATACCCTGGGGTTTTGGGGTTTTGGGGTTTTGGGG